GTCCCCGGGCTGTGCCCCCCGGGCTGTGCCCTCCCCCGTCCCCGGGCTGTGTCCCCGGCCGCTGCCGGTCCCCGCGGGCAGCCGATGTGGAAGGAGCCCGAGGCCTGCCCTGCAGGCCTGACCCGAGGCCCACGCCAGAGGCACCGGCGCAGCTCTGTGGGAAGGGAACGCGTTCAAACACCTTTTCCCCAGAGCGTGAGGCTCACGTTTCGCCTTGTGCTCAGAATGAGAGCTTTCCTCAGCTCCTCAGGTGCGCTCGTGCTCTTCCAGCTCCCCAGTATGGGAGAGGACAGAGGGACCTTCCCGGCCCGGGGAGCGGTGCTGCCTGCAGGGCCTCCCCCTTTTAGCATTTAATGCAGGAGAAACGAGCAGTTCAGCCCGGATGGCAAACGTTGGAGGCTGCAGAGAGGGGCTCTGGGAAGGGCAGCACGACAGGATCAGTGCTGGAAGCCAGCACTCGTGTAAGTGTAAGTGGATTGGCAGTGAAAGGCCAGGTGTTACTGTGGCATCTTGTCCTCGTTAAAAGAGGCACAATGCCAAAAGCTGCACACACTGGATTAAATTCATGTCTGCCACGGATTAGTGACATAGTCTTTTAAGTTCATAGACTGGCTTTTCGTGGCAGGGATGGATGCAGGAAAAGCATTTCCTAAGTGCAAGTTCTTTAGACCAAAGCCACTCGTTGGTAGGTTTCGTTTGTGAAGTGAGTTGGTGTTTACACAACTTGGTTATTGTGTGCAGTGATAAAATGGAAACTGAAGTTAACAAAAACATTGAATGTGAATGTGTGAAAGGAGAATGTTTCCTATTAGCAGCAGATGATTCTCAAATGTCTCATTTCACCTGAAAGCCAATACCAGGCACTGACACTCTGCCTTACCCCATAACTAGTAACAAATGTGAGATCCAGGCCGTTTGCATTATTAATGTGCCTTTAGGACCACTGCAGCAGTAATAAAAAAACTACTTAGTGCCAGTTGGGGGAAATTTTGTCATCTGTTTACAAGTAAATATGGCTTCTGGTTCTGAAAAATACAAAGAAATGACCTCCCACTGATTGTTTGATGTGTTTATGAAAGGATGATTGCTTTTTATGACAGCTATTTGAATCAGATGTTGTTGGGAAAAGGTCGTTGTGTTTGGTGTCATGGTGCATGTCACAGTGTGGATCTTGGCTGCCCCCAGTCCTGGGGTGAGTGGTGTGTGGGTGCTGGTGCTTGCTGCTGTGTTGTCTCCCCGGAGCCTTCTCTTCTCCAGATTGATCTTCTTGTTTTAGTATTGGCTGTTCTTAGTAGTGCAGAAAAGAGGGGAGCTCTCAGGAAACTGCTTGACATGTCAAGCTACTGGAGGCCATTTCTGTCTCCTCTAGCCTCCTGACCAGGATGTCAAGGCTACAGCCCTTAGGCTGGATGCCTGTGAGAAGACAGATGGTCCAGAGCTCTCTCTCCCTGCTGCAGTGCTCCAGGTTTCAGCAGGTGACAATGCACGTCTCTATGGGTTCTCCATCATTTAACAAGAAAACATTATGCATCGGCCAGATCCTCGACCTTTTTTGCTTGTAAATGGTTTTGTTGCAGCTTGACTTGAGAATGAGATGTTACTGATTTGACTGCAGGCCTTTGTGACCCTGCTGTTGCCAACTGTGGCAAGTTTAGATAAGGCTCTTTATAGATTCAGCTGCACAGACATCCCAAAATCATGTTCCATTTTAGGGTATGGACAAGCCCTAGGATGTTCTGGCATATAATTTGAAAGCTGTGTCCACTCAGCTGGTAAACAGTCTTTGTTATGCAGGGAGTCAGATCTGGCTAACAAAATTATTCCTCAAGCCATTAAGGTTTTAGTAAGTGTCAAATGGCTGCACACTTGTTCTCATAACTTTAGGAATTTATTTTCATGGCAGAATAAAACATGGTTATTAATTTGCTTCCTAGCATGGCATAGTTAAACAGGAGTTGACTTTAAATTTGCAGGGTTTTGTCTTGTTTTTGAGACTGGACTGAAAGAAAATGCTATGCAAGGAGGACTGGTAGGATTGATGATCACTGCAGTGTTCAGAGACCACGAAAATGAATGGAGCTGTAGAAAGCTGAATTCTCTTGCTAGCTTTTTACTGACAGGGTCTTAATTTAAAGTATACAAAGAAGGAGGACCTTAAAAATATAGAAAGCTTGTTGTTCTCTTTAAAATCAAGATAAATTTACTAAGTAATTTAAAAACAGTGAAACTCCTTCAAAATGTGGGGATATGTAATTCCAAAGTGGAACAATTTGAGCTCATATAGCAGTAAATCATGGTCAGGCTTGGTAATCAGGCACATTTTCAGTTTTCATGAGAACTCAATATGAACTTTGCCTCTGAGGAAACATGATAGAGATTCTGGGACTGGTGTCATTAGGTCTGATTCAGTTCCTGTATCCTTTGGTGACATGGGATTAGGGCTCAATATAATTCTCATCCAGCAACCACTTGAAAAAAAGGCTTTTATTTTAACAGCTTTGTGTGCATGTGTGTCAGTTAATGCAAAAATCACCTTAAGTGGTTAATGCTGCAGAATTAAATGTGTATTTTTGGATAGGTCTCCTTTCCAGTCATCATAACGCAGGGATTGGGAGGTATCTAATGAAATGTAAATTTAAAAAGGCAGAAGAAAATTTCCCAAAGGCGATTTTGTAAAACACCTTGTTCTTAGCAAAAACACTGTTGTGAATTCTGTAATGACTTCAAAAGAGTCGTGGTCCAGTATTTACATCTTTTAAATAGCAACTCTGCCAGAGAACTTTGTTCCTTGTGGAATTTGGGTGCATTAGCACAGTGGTAACAGTTTAGAAAAGAGTATATTATTATTTTTGTGTTCTGTGAGGCAATAAATGGCAACTATAATTGCTTTGACCATTGGATCTTATTTAGGCTCCCTGTTGGCTTGCAGATAATTGTGGTAGTTCTGAGTATTATTCATACAATGACGCTGCAAACTGTTGCAACTGTTCTTGCCTGCTCCCTCATTTGAGTTTGCTGAATTTATGGATCTTTAGATGCTTAGCACATAAAATCACAGATAAATCTTTTGTATTTCAGCCAAAGACTTATGATAGAATCTTGAGAATGAAACATTAATATTTCAATTGCAGTTGCTTGTGGCAGAAATTCTTGAGAAAATATAAAAATATAACAAGTAGAACTCACTTATTACTTCCTGAGGAATAACACTCCTTAGAGACTGCCAAATATACATGAGGTCAGGACTTAATAAACAAAGAACTGTACTTATAAAACAACTGTCAAGGGAAAAGTAAATGTTCGATATCCTGACTCGTGAATTTAACTGGATAAGACACAAATTATGGAGGCAGCATAAATGGGTCTAGCATAAGTGTGAAAGTGATTTGTATGTAAACAGAAACAATTCGCTCTGCTTTGTTCCCATTATTCTTCAGCATCTTTAACAAACAGCTTCTTTTTTATGACAGGTTTTATGACAGAAGATAACATTAAGTTATCTTCTAATACAAAATGAAATTATTTGTGCTGTAGTTATTCCTGTCTGGTAATTTATCCTGTATTTTTATATTTTCAGTGTTTGATGATCTTGCTGGTGCCTGCCATCAGAACTGATCGAGGAGAGCTTCCCTGGGTGCCTCAGAGCTTTTGGGAAGAGAAAGACGAGCAGGGATTCATTAAGAGCAGACATTTCATTTCAGGAGTTTGTACCAGGGGAAAGTGAGCAAGGTAAGAGATGGAGAAGTGAGGGATATCATCATATTTTGTACATCACTTTCCCACAGTCTCATTCCTCCTCACTCTCCCCCTTCACTCTTGTACACACACACTTCAGAATGTCACTTCCTTAGCATTGCTGCTAAACCCTCTGTGTCCGAGAGAAGAAAAGCTCCTGTCATCTATACTTTCCTGAAGGGGAAAGCTTGCCAATGGTTGGTGACCACAAAACCAAAAGCCCTTCCCAAAACTCCTGCTGAGGTGCTGGAAGAAGGGTGTTACACCATTATTCCTTTAGATTTACTAAATGTTCAGCAGCAGAAAGCAATCGGAAGCAATGCTGAAGTGTGAAAATGCATGGCAATATCATAACTACTGCTTTCTAATTCATGGTAATGTATGGTGCTGCTTCCTGGCATCTCTGGGGACAGAACAAGAGGGACTGT